AAATATACAAGATATATAGAATCTATAGATCTTATCAAATCAAGAAATAACTTCTAAGAAATATAAAATATTAAAAAAATCTATAAATTAAATAACAATAGTTACTTAAAAACATAAGTTTGTAGATATCTTAAAACTTTTTACCTCAAAGACATTGTCATCAATATCCTACATCATATTTTTTTTTTTCATTCTTTAAAACCCAATAAATAGCACAACCCAATTCTCTAAATTTATTTTTAAGCTAAATTATAATACTACGATATAATAATAAATCAAATTAATAAAGCACACTTAAAAAACACAAAACTATTAAAATTGAAAATATTTCAAAATTTCAAAATAAAAATTACATAATTAATATTAGAAAGCAAACTAATTCATAATAATACATAAAACCAAGCTATTATATATTTTACTATACGATTAGTGATCTTTTTATTCTTTTCCTTTTACTCGTAAAATCTTTTATGTAATCAAAAGTAATATGATGTGTATTTATCATTGGTGTATTATTGTATTTAGTATATAAATCTACTATAATAAATGATATTTTTTTGTCACATTTGATACTCTCATTAATATGGTTACAGGTTATTTTGTGGTTATTTTCAATTAATTTTTGTTTTCACATGGTATTTTATGGTTTTTTCTATTTTAGAAAATTTTATATAATATTTAAATTTAACAATTGCAATAAATATAATAACAAATGCATATCAATTTCAATATTTGATTTTTCTTCTAATGTCAACATATCTATATTAAAACTTCATTAGTTTCCTTTGTTTATTTATCAAAATTATTTGATTAAAATTAAAAAAGACAAAAACACTTTAATTTTAATAATTCAATATTTTACTAATTTTTCTTATAAACTTTTTCAATTGTTTATAATTTTCATAATTATTTTTTTAAATGAATCCCATATAATACATGGGTGTTACACCTATTATATAATATATGAAGGTCGGAAAAAATTCAAATCAATATAAAAGATAAATTTGGATATAAAAATAAGATGAAGTGCTAATGTTGTAATTTGTTTTAAACGTATTGAAATCACAATGAGCCAAATGTTTCCATGGTAACCCGACCCCTCGAACATCACCACACCCTACTGTGTGGTTTGCCCATACCACCGCACCATGCAGTGGATATACTCTGGCAAGTCGCCCTAACAGAATGCATCATAAATAATTTTTTCACCATTTAATTTAGTTTTTCCCATACCCATTGTTGAACAGACGCAATTAAAGCTCATATTTTTATGGTTTCACCAAAACATAATTAATTTAAATCCTACGTTACTTTACCATCAATGTATATTAGTTGACTGATTCTTTTGCTTAAATGCTATCATCAATCTTTCCTTATATTTATACTCAAAAAAACAACATAAAGATTCATTTATTTGGTTTTTCATTCTTGATCTCTTTTCGGTGGTTGTTAGATTTCTTGAAGGATCGGATGAACATGACTTTTATTCCTGCTATTTTCGTTGCAGTGATGCTTCTTTTGAGTGGTGTGCATGCTCATCATTGTAATCCAAGTAAAGACATAAGTGAGTGTTATCCAGCTCTAATCACACAAGGAGTACCATCTTCACATTGTTGCTACGAATTAGATCACCATATGCATTGCTTCTCTAAATACATTGACAACAATTACTCTCTACATCCACCAAACTATCCATATCTTCGGAATATTAGCGAAATATGTGACATCTACTTCCCCATTAGTCCTTCATAGTAAATTGGTACTTCTATTCATATATTGAATAACACTTACGTGTGATAAAATGATAGAAAGTATTCTAGATGGCTTTGCATTGATGTCTTTTATTTCTTTATTGTTGTTAAAATTAATTTATGATTTGAGAATACTTGTGTCAAACTTAAACATACCCTACATAATCGTGTTGAATGATTGGTATGCATGTCCTTTTAATAAAAACTTGTATCTTGTACCTCTCTTTAGTTGGTCTAGCTTCTAGCTAAGCTTGGTTTCTATTTTTATAATATGTTTTTCTAGATCCTATATATATATATATATATATATATATATATATATATATATATATATATATATATGTATGTATGTATGTATGTATGTATGTATAATGTGTTGAATTTATTTCTTGAAAATCAAATTGGAATAAACAAATCCTCTCTCAATTGTGACTGCTAAACAAATTTGTGTTGTTTACTTCCTCCACTGTATCACGTGTTAATTGAAACTAGTAAAAAGCCTCGGGTTTTGCCCTCAGTTCGGATTTTTTACAATACAAGGCGGCATAAACTAAACTTACCAAACTATGGAAACTATTGTGGCTAAATTTTGAAAATTACAAACTTTTGTAATAAGGGATCAAAAGTGTAAGACTAAAAAAGTTTAGTGACAAATATCTAAAATAAATGAACTTTATTATTCCTCAAGGTTTTAAGAATTAAGGGACTAAATTTGTCAAACTGTAGAAAATATTATGACTACATTTTAAAGACCACAAACTTTTATAATAAATGATCAAAAATATAAAAATAAAAAAGTTTAGTGGCAAGTGTTTAAGACAAAGAAACTTTACTTTTCGTTATTCTTTTAAAATATATAACATTTCTAATAAATAAAGGTGTTTTTTTGTCACTTTTCAAATTGTCAAGAGTTTTCTCACATTTAATTTTGTAAAGTTTTAGAACTATTATTTTCCACTTGTCATTTTTTGGGAACTTCCATTTTTATTAAATAAAATTCTAATTAGTTTTATAAGAAAAGACAATCATTCTATTAATTTGATAATAAAATCACATAAATATTCTAAAGACTATTTGATTTCTTTTATAAATATTCCAAAAGATTACATTATGTTATATAAAAATGTTATTTTATAAAATATTTAATGTTTAATTATGTAAAAATGTTGTTTTATAAAATATTTAATGTTTAATTATTGATATTGATTTTTTATTTTTATTAAATTCGTATAGTACATAGGTCTCACACCTAGTCTTTATTCTAATAAATGAATAGTTTTAATTTCCTTTTGGAAACTATCACTCTAATAAAACTCCTTATTAATATTATTATATCATGTGGCATGTAGATATATATTATGCAACTCATTTCAAAATTTAAATTTAAATTTTCTAATTATATGTTAAATTTAAAGGTATAATTACTTTAAAATTTTGATATATCTTTTAATTAATAATTTATTTCAAATGACTTATTTAAGATAATTGATTAATAATTATAAATTTTTATTGTAAAAGATTAATTAATTTTATAACTGTGGTTCTCATAAGTTACAAACTAGTTATTTAATATATAAGATATATAAAATCTATAGATCTTATCAAAATAGGAAATAATTCCTAAGAAAAGTAAAATCTGAAGAAAAATTTATAAATAAAATCACAATAGTTACTTAAAAACATAATGTAAGTTTGTAGATATCTTAAAACATTTTACCTCAAAAAAAACTCCAAGACGAATTAAGGTTGTAGGTTATATTTATATTTCACCATCTATTTTTACTTTGTCACCTAAATGCTACATCATATGTATTTTCCTTTCATTCTTTAAAACCAAACAAATAGTCACAACGCAATTCTCTAACTCTATTTTTAAGCTAAATTAATATACTAGAATATAATAATAAATGAAATTAATAACGAAAACTTAAAAAACACAAAACTATCAAAATTGAAAATATTTTAAAATTTCAAAATGAAAGTTACATAATTAATATTAGAAATGAAACTAATACATAATAATACATAAAACCAAGTTATTATATATTTTCAGGACAAAATTGCAAAAATGGTCCCTGTGTTTGGCAAAATTATGCGACTTTGGTCCAAAACGATACTTTGATGCACCACTGGTCCAAAATTGGATTTTTCCATTGTTTTTGGTCCCTCCCATTCACTTCCGTCCATATACTCCGTTACATGCAATAAAGACCGGGGTATTTTCGTCTTTCCACATACAGGGACCTTTTTTGCAACCTTATTCAAAATAAAAGCAGAGCTACATCACTCTTCCATCTTCAACTTCACGAGCTTCATACTCTTCCTACTCTGTGTTCACAATTTCTTAGAGATCAAAAATTAAAATGGTGATGTGTTTCTGTGGTAGGGAAGCGGTGGTTCGCACCTCCTGGACATCAGCAAACCCTGGTCAGAGGTTTCTTTCCTGCTCTCAAAAGGTAAGTGTTCAATTTTGCTATTTTACCCTCATTTTGGAAAATCACCCTCATGTTTAGGGTTTAGTTTTTTATGTGAAGGGTTCCAGATGCCGATTCTTAGGATGGATTGATCCTCCCATGTGTGCACGATCTATGTTGATAATACCCGGATTATTGAGGAATATCAACAATGTAAACTATCAAGTGGCAAGATTGAAGATGTGTTTGTTTGCAAGTTGGTTACTATTTGTGGTGGTTTGGGTGCTTTTCATTTAGTAATAAGCAATTAGGGACCCCTGCAGTTGCATGTAATTTTTGGGTGTTTTTTGTCTTATGAAATTGTAACAAGGGTATGTGGTAGTTTTTGGTATTTGATAATGTAATATCAGTTTAGGGTTATTTTGGACAACTTCAGAAATTTGTACCCTTTTCAAGGATATAATGACAATGTATTGCAGTTATCACCGAATGTTAATGTTTATTTGTTGTTTCAGAAAACAGTTCTTATAACCAAAAATGTGTTCCATAAACATGACAACCAACAGTTGGTATAAACCATAAACATCATTCTTCAACAATGACAAAAGGTTGACATTAGTTTCATGACCAAAAGGGCTAAAAGACCAAAATAAAACCATTACAACAAACTAGTTTTAAACCATTACATCCAAATGCACAAAAGTTGTGCTAAACCAAAAGATAAGTTTTTAAACAAAATACACTAATTCCTGCATTGACTGCTATCTCCATTCCCTCCTTGACTGCATCATGCATTCCCTCCTTGACTACTTCCTGCATTCCCTCCTTCATTTCTTCATGCATTCCCACCTTGACCCTTGCACGTCCTTGAGTTATGACCCCTATTGTTGCATTTCCCACACCTAACACTAACAAACTTTCTGGTAAGTTTTTCAGGTTCATCTGCACCATGATTTTGCATCTGTTTATCATATTTTTCATCTGCACTTCTCTTTCTCTTGGTCTTAGGTCTCCCAGGTTGATTGTGATGTGGTGGTGGTGTTAATTGAAATGGACAGGTACTTTTTGGCCACATGGGTCTACCCTTTATAGGGTCCACAGTGTAAGAGTAAGCTTCATTCCATGTTTGAAGCCAATACACTTTGTTGACATAAGTGTAAAGCTCCCCAACTTTGTCTCCACTAACAACCATTTCATGTATTGTAGCAATGGCATGCCTACATGGAATCCCATTCAATTCCCACCTTCTACATGTACATGACATATTTGCCATGGCAACCACATGTTGTTCATGCCAAGGACCATAAACTTCATACTTTTCAGTCCCATTCCATCTAGCTCTATATTGGACTGAAGCTTACCTATTTCTCTCAAGTAACTTTGATGCTGTTGGAGTGAGTGGACCTGGAGCTTTGGACATCACTTTCTTCACATTGCAAATCCTCTTCATAAGGTACTGCCTGATGTACTCAAGACAACTTATGATGGGCTTATTCCTACCATGAATAAGCTTACTTTGAAAACCTCACATAAATTGTTGAGCAATATATCTGATCCTGCTCTTCCTGTATTAAACAAGAAAATTATATGAACTAAACCATATACAATGAGCACTAGTAAAGCTTCACCTAAGTTAGGGAATGTAACCTGAAAAGTGGCTTCTTGCCCAATGGTGAGGGGGGATTTTCTTCAACCACTCAAAAGCATCCTTATCAAACTTGTTAAGTTCATTCATGTAGTGTTCAAATTCTGGTACTATGGTTGCTATTGCACACTGCCATAAGTGATCTTTATACTCTTTTGTTTTCCATTTTTTCCTCATGTTCTCATAAATATATCTTAGACAGAATCGATGCTCAGCCTGTGGGTATAGTTGAGCAATAGCAGGTAAGAGTCCCTGTAAAGGATTATTTCACATAATCATTGCAACAATCATATACAAATAAACTATTAGTAATACAAAAAGAAGAAAATAGTACCTTTTGTCTATCACTCATGAAAGTAAAGTTAGAATTTGAGTACAACTCTAAGTCATCTCCCAAGCATTCTAGAAACCATTTCCAGCTACTCATATTTTCAGTCTCAACAATGGCATATGCAAGTGGGTATATGCCGTTGTTTGAATCCAATCCAACTGCTGTGAGTACTTGGCCTGGAAAGGGTCCTTTCATAAAAGCACCATCTAGTCCCAGAATATCTCTTAAACCTGCTTTAAACCCTTTCTTTAATGCCCCTAAGCAAATATACACCCTTTTAAACTGCCTTGTTTCTCTAGTACTATTAGGCTCATTAACAACCTTCAAGCTTCACAGTTGTACCCACATTAGTTGCTTGTAGTTCCATAAGATAATCTCTTAACACCTCGTATTGCTTTGTGTAGTCACCACTCACTTGCTTTGTAGCTGTTGCTTTTTCTCTCTGTACTTTGTGTATGGACACACCAACTTGAAGCCTCTTCTGAACTTGCTCTTGAATGCTTCGAAGGGGTACTGTAGGGTTAGACTCGACCATGTCTAAGATTTCTGCAGATATATACTTCGCAGTGCAAGCCCTAAGTTTTCTAGTTTGAACATAAGTATGTTTGTCCAGTAAAGTTTTCACATACCAATAATCACTATCTTTTGACCGTGAAGTCTGCATTGACCAAGAACAATTTAATTTATTGCCCTTACCTACCCCACTTGCATTTACATTAGGTACATTACCTTTACACACAACCCTAAGCCTTGTTTTGTCGTTTTTCTTGAAGCCAAGATTCCTTCTAGTCTCAATGGCAAGTTTGTTGACTTTGTCCTTAATTTCCTTTTTACTTTTATACTTTTGACCCACTTGAAAAGTAACTGTATGGACTTCACCAAGAGAGCACTTCTTCTCCTTCACCATCTGTTTTAATATTGCTTTCCTTCTTTCATCATCACTATCTTCACCTAATGAGTCCCATTCATCATTATCAATTACTTCAACATCTTTTGTATCAACAACTTCATTTTCAGTCTCAACACCTTTTCCTTTATCAACATATTCAACATCTAGATCAACATTCATATAGAAATCACTCATGTCCACCTCAATATCACTTACATAGTTTTCTTCATCTTCAAGAAAGTTACTGTCTTCCTCACTCCCTTCACTACCCCGTTCACTACCCCTTCACTACCTCCTTCACCAAGTCCTTCACAAACTCCCTCACTTTCAAATTAAACTTCCATTAGTCCTGTGCCAAGTTTTGCACCAACACCCATACTCTGATCATTACCATCATTAAAAGTATATTGATCAAAGAAAGGATCAAAGTCTTGAAACTGAAATGGTTGGTCATCAAAGGTACAAACTCTCTTGTATTTACTTCTTGGTCACCAACATTTGCACCTTGATCATGAACTTCTGTATCTTGATCACCAATAGGTGCACCTTGATCACTAACATTTTCTCCTTCATTACCAATTTCAACATGTGTATCTTGACCACCAACAGTTGCACCGTGCTCACTAATATTTGCACCTTCATTACCAATTTCAACATGTGCATCTTGATCACCAACAGTTGCAGTGTGTTCCAAGTTGAAACACAATTTCTTACTACATGATTGACTCCCATCAACTAACCTCAATCTCTTATTTGAATTGTATTCGGGTGTCTCATATCTTACTAAACACCATTCAAGATTTGGGACATCTTGATCACCAACAGTTGCAGTGGGCACATCATCTGCTATTTCCTCAATTATGACCCTAGGTTTAACTCTTAGAGACATAAAGTATGTAAGTAACTTAGTTTCATTATGTTCAGTGTATACCTTGATGATCTTATGATGTTCAATGTACTGTGCAAGACTAAGTACATCAATATCATTCCCTAGAGCTCTAAGACCAAACTCCAAATCTCCATTTGGCAATTGATAGTGGTAGTAAATGACTGGTGGTACATCATAACCAAGCTTCAGCATCACCTCGTCCAACTCATGTACAGAGAACTCATCCATGTCTACCAAGTCAATGTGGTCTAATTTTCCTTCAATGTAGCTTATCCCTGGGAATTTTGTGAACCTCCCTCCATGATGGAGCTCAATAGTGAACATTGTGGGATATCCTTCTGTAAAAATCATGAACCAAACCAAAAAAAACATTACTTTATATGGATTGTAAAAGATTTTTTTTTTGTTTCAAAGAAATATGTAAGAAACAGAGTACGTTACCGTAAATTCGGATTGCATCAAAACACTGATTTCTTGGCCTGATTTCCCACATTTGGACCATACTCGTGGATTCAAACTTACGATTGCGGTTGATGATCAAATGCAAGATTTAAATGAACAATTAGGGTTTTCGATCAACAAGTTGGGTTTAGTGCGTAGAGTGAAGGGTCATTAACTGTGTATATCATTCAATATGGCGGTAATCGATGATATGGAGGTGGAAAGACGAAAATACCCCGGTCTTTATTGCATGTAACGGAGTATATGGACGGAAGTGAATAGGAGGGACCAAAAACAATGGAAAATCCAATTTTCGACCAGTGGTGCATCAAAGTATCGTTTTGGACCAAAGTCGCATAATTTTGCCAAACACAGGGACCATTTTTGCAATTTTGTCTATTTTCAGTGATGTTTTAATTCTTCTCCTTTTACTCGTACAATCTTTTATGTAATCAAAATTAATGTGATGTGTATGTATCGTTAGGGTATTACTGTATTTAGTATATAAATCTACTCTAATAAATGATAATCTTTTTGCCACATGAGATACTCTCATTAATATGACCACATGTCATTTTGTGGTTATTTTCAATTAAATTTTACAAGTGGCATTTTGTGGTTTTTTCTATTTTATAAAATTTTACATAATATTTAAATGTAATAATTGCAATAAATGTAATAACAAATGCATATCAATTTCAATAATTGACTTTCCTTCTAATTTCAACATATCTAAATTAAAACTTCATTAGTTTCATTTGTTTATTTATCAAAATTATTTGTTTAAAATTAAAAGAGAAAAAAACATTTTAATTTTAATAATTTAATATTTTTCTAATTTTTCTTATCAAGTCAAACTTTTTCAAATGTTTACAATGTTCATAATTATTTTTTGTAAAATGAACCCATGTAATATATGAGTATTACACCTAATATATAATATAGGAAGGTCGGAAACAATTCAAATCAAAATAAAAGATAAAATTTGGATATACAATTAAGATGAAGGCCTAATCATGTAATTTGCTTCAAACGTATTGAAATCACAATGAGACAAATGTTTCCTTGGTAACCCGACCCCTCGAACATCACCACATCCCACTGTGTGGTTTGCCCGTAACACCGAACCATGCGGTGGATATACTTCGGGAAGTCGCCGTAACAGAATGCATCACAATTAATTTTTTCACCATTTAAATTAGTTTTTTTTCATACCCATTGTTCAAGACGCAATTAAAGCTCATATTTTTATGGTTTCACTGAAACATAATTAATTTAAATCCTACGTTACTATATCATAAATGTATTTTAGTTGACTAATTCTTTTGCTTAAATGCTATCATCAATCTTTCCTTATATTTATACTCAAAAAACAACATAAATATTCATTTATTTGGTTTTTCATTCTTGATCTCTTTTCGGTGGTTGTTAGATTTATTGAAGGATCGGATGAACATGACTTTTATTCCTGTTATTTTCATTGCAGTGATGCTTATTTTGAGTGGTGTGCATGCTCATCATTGTAATCCAAGTAAAGACATAAGTGAGTGTTATCCAACTCTAATCACACAAGGAGTACCATCTTCACATTGTTGTTATGAATTAGATCACCATATGCATTGCTTCTTTAAATACATTGATGCCAATTACTCTCTACATCCACCAAACTATCCATATCTTCGGAATATTAGCGAAATATGTGACATCTACTTCCCCATTAGTCCTTCATAGTAATTTGGTACTTTTATTTGTATATTGAATAACACTTACGTGTGATAAAGTAATAAAAAGTATTCTAGATGGCTTTGCATTGATGTCTTTTATTTCTTTATTATCGTTAAAATTAATTTATGATTTCATAATACTTGTGTTAAAATTAAACACGACCTACATAATCATGTTGAATGATTGGTATGCATGTCCTTTTAATAAAAACTTGTATCTTTTACCTCTCTTTAGTTGGTCTAGCTTCTAGCTAAGCTTGGTTTCTATTTTTATAATATATTTTGTCGGATCCTCTCTCTCTCTCTCTCTCTCTCTCTCTCTGTATATATATATATATATATATATATATATATATATATATATATACATAATGTGTTGAATCTATGCCTTGAAAATCATATTGGAATAAACAAATCCTCTCCCATTTGTGATTCCTAAACAAATTTGTGTTGTTTACTTCCTCCATCGTATCACGTGTTGATTGAAACTAGAAAAAAGCCTCGGGTGTTGCCCCCGGGTCGGGTTTTTTTACAATACAAGGCAGCATAGAATAAACTTACCAAACTATGGAAAATATTATGGCTAAATTTTGAAAATTACAAACTTCTGTAATAAGGGATCAAAAGTGTAAGAATCGAAAAGTTTAGTGACAAATATCTAAAATAAATGAACTTTATTATACCTCGAGATTAAGGGACTAAATTTGTCAAACTCTAGAAAATATTGTGACTATATTTCTAAGACCACAAACTTTTGTAATAAGTGATCAAAAATATAAGAATAAAAAGGTTTAGTAGCAAGTGTTTAAGATAAAGAATTTTACTTTTCCTTATGCTTTTAATATATATATATATATATATATATATATATATATATATATATATATATATATATCATTTCATTATATACTTATAAAGGAAGTATTTTTTTTTGCACCACATTTATTTGAAACTCCCATGACTTTTCAATTTCTTTCTAATAATAATTATCATTTTGTCAATTAAGTTCAATAAATATCAAACCTAAAATGTAATCATATATAAACCAAAGTTTCAATATCAAGATAATATCTTTACTTCTACTAATAAAGTTATGTTTATTAACTTAAAACATATTATACTTAATTTATTAGTTTTAATATATTGTTGGATGTAAACCATTATCATTTTAAATATACAATTTTGGAACAATTTATATAAAATACTTAAATTATCAATTTAAATATAACATTACAGAGTCAACTTAAATATAAATTTTGGATTAACTTAAACAACCCAATGAATATTTTATAACTAGTTAAAAGTGATAAATTGTAATGTCTTTCTAATAATGATTATAAGTTGGTTAATAATGGTAAATAAATATCAAACCTAAAGTGTAATCATAAATAAATTAAATTTCGATTTTAAAGTAATATATTTACTTCTACTTGTAAAGTTATATCTTTAACTTTTAACATATTATACTTAGTTTATTATATTTAATAAGATGTTAAATGTAAATCATTACCAGTTTAAAATTACAAATTTTAAATAGTTTGGACAAAATACTTAAATTATGAACATAAATATAACATTACAATGACAACTTAAATATAAATTTCAGATCCACTTAAAAAACTAAAAATATTTTTAACCAGTTAAAAATGATAATTTATAGTAATAAATGCAAAAACTAAATTGTAATATCAATTTAACTAAAATATTTCCTAATGATTTTTTTATAATCGTTAAAAGTTTTCAAATAAGTAGCTTAAAATAACATACAATAACAATATTTAAAAATACCTCTATATAAATGATTATATTGTAGCCTTTACAATCAAAAAATAATGTTTGATGTTTTACATAATTATAATGATAGATAATTAAAACAATAACAACAACTATAAATAATATTAGACCATAAATTATATTTAATTTTATTTATGTCTAACTCACTGTTAAAAGTTATTCCAACGATTGAGATTATAAAGTTATAATAGATGTGTATATTATTATATAATTCAAAATAATCAATATATTATATCAATTTAGTATACGAATTATTATGTCAAATTTAACAACAACGTTATTGTTATATTTAAAAAAAATATTTGTAAAGACTTCAACTATATAAGTGTTTCTACACATTAGAATGTCAACTTAAATATAAATTTCAGTTCCACTAAAAAAACCAAAGAAGACTTTGTAAATAGTTAAAAAAGTGATATATTATAGTGATAATGCAAAAAAAAAAATAAATAAATAAATAAAAAATAAAAATTTGTAATCACAATTTAACTAAAATATTTCCTAAATGTATTTTTATAATCATTAAAATTTTCCATTTATGTAGCTTAAAATAACTTACAGTAACAATAGTTAAAAATAACTCTATATAAATGATTATATTGTTACCTTTAAAATTAAAAAATAATGTTTAATGTTAAAATAATTATAATGATAGAAATTAAAACATTAAGCAAATAGATTCTAAAATAATTAACAACAACAACTATAAATAACATTAAACCATATATTATATTTAATTTTATTCATGTGTAACTCGAGGGTAGAAGTCATTCAAACGATTGAGATTATGAAGTTATAATAGATGTATATATTATCATATATATCAAAATAATCAATATATTATATCAATTTAGTATATAAATTATTATATCAGATTTAACAACAATGTTATTGTTATATTTAAAAAGAAAACATATATTTGTAAAGATATCAACTATATAGGTGTTTCTGCGCAACGTGCGGACATTCACATAATTTGTAATAAATGAAGATTTTTTTGTCACTTGTTAAATTCTCAAGAGTTTTGTCACATGTAATTTTGTAGCTATGAGTTTTAAAACTATTATTTTCCACTTGTCATTTTTTGGGAATTTCCATTTTTTAAAAAATAAAATTCCATAAATTCTAATGAGTTTTATAAGAAAGAGAATTATTCTATTAATTTGATAATAAAGTCTCATAAATATTCTAAAGACTATTTGATTTCTTTTATAAATGTTCCAAAAGATTACATTATGTTATGTAAAAATGTTATTTTATAAAATATTTAATGTTTAATTATGTAAAATTGTTATTTTATAAAATATTTAATGTTTAATTATTGATCTTAAATTTTTATTTTTAATAAACTCGTGTAGTACACGAGTCTCACACCTAGTCCTTATTCTAATAAATGAATAGTTTTAATATACTTTTGTCAAGTGTCACTCTAATACAACTCCTTATTAATATTATATCATGTGGCATTTAGATATATTAGACAACTCATTTCATAATTAAAATTTATATTTTCTAATTATATGTTAAATTTAAAGTTATAATTACTTTAAAACTTTGATATATCTCTTAATTAATAATTTATTTAAAATGACATAGTTAAGATAATTGATTAATAATTACAAATTTTTATTATAAAAGATTAATAAATTCTATAACTATGGTTCTCATGAGTTACAAACTAGTCGTTTAATATATAAGATATATAGAATCTAA